GTGAGCCACCATGTGGTTGCTGGGAATTGAACTCAGGACCTCTGGAAGAGCAGTCAGTGCTCTTAACCTCTGAGCCATCTCTCCAGCCCCCTTTTTATATTTTTCAATGCAGGATTTCTTTGTGTAACATTGGCTGTCCTGGAACTCGCTGTGTACATCAGGCTGGCTTTGAATTCAGAGATCTGCCTGCCTCTGTCTCCTGAGTACTGGGATTAAAGGCATGCATTACCACCACCCAGCTAAAATGTATTTTTTATGTTATGTATATGCTTATGTGTATCACTGCACACTATATGCATGCCTGGTACACAAAGAGGCCCAAAGAGGCTGTTGGACTGGAGTCACAGATGGTTTGGGGCTGCTATATATGTGCTTGAAGAGGCGTCAGTGCTCGTAATCACTGAATAATCTCTCTATCCTCATACATTGCAATTTAAAAACAAGAATTTTACACTTTGTTATCCAATAGTATATCATTATTTAAGATTCAGAAAAACTTATGTTTAATCCTTACCTTGGACCTCTCCTCTACTTTTATAAATGAAAATTTTTATTTGATTTTTGGATTTTTGTTTGTTTTTTGAGGCAGGGTCTCACTATATAGTTCTGGCTCTCCTGGAACTCATTATGTAGATCAGGCTGGCCTCAAACTCACAGAGATTCACCTGCCTCTGCCTCCATACCTAGCTATTAATGGGAAAACTTTAAGCATACAAAATCAGACTAATTAGTACCCTAATTAGCCAGCTTTAACGATGATCAACACAGCCAGGTGGTGGCAGTGCACGCCTTCAATCCCAGCACTCGGGAGGCAGAGGCAGGTGGATCTCTGTGAGTTCGAGGCCAGTCTGGTCTACAGAGCAAGAGCCAGGACAGGCATGAAAACAACACAGAGAAACCCTGTCTTGAAAAACCAAAAACCAAAACAAACAAACAAACAAACAAACAAACAAACAAACAAACAAAAACCCAATTATCAACACATGGCTAATCTTGTTTCATTTATATTTCATTTTCTAGACTCTTCTCAAAATATTTTGGATACAAGATCTCATTATGTGTTCTAGACTTGTCTCCTTGCCTCTATCTCTAAGCTACCGAGATACATACAGAGACCCAGTGTCGAATAAACAAATAAGAATCCTTTTGTAAACTATGGATTTATGGAGTGTCAATGGAGGTTTATCTATTAATAGAACTACTGTACCACTTTGGTGTAAGGATGTTGATAATGGGAGTAGGGAGTATACTGGACCTCTGTAACTTCTACCAATTTTGCTATGAACCTAGAACTACTCTAAAATATAAAGACTACTTGGAAAACAAGAACTACTTTCTAAGCCAAACTGTATCATATCTAAAATAATAATCCCTTGGTACACGTCTTTAATCCCAGCACTCCAGAGGCAGAAGCAGGTGGATCTCTGTGAGTTCAAGGCCAGCTTGACTTACATAGTTCCAGACCAGCCAGGGCTACATAGTGAGACTCTGTCACAATAAACAAATAATTCTTTTTTTAATTAACTAATTAATTTTACATCTTGATCGCAGCCTCCCCTCCCTCCTCTCCTCTGAACTGGCCATCCCCTGTGATCGGATTGGTGACTACCCACCCCAGTTGTCATCAGATAGCCTTCATCCAGTGACTGATGGAGGCAGATTCAGAGACCCACAGCCAAACATGGGACCATGTTCGGGGAGTCCTGCTGAGGAGAGGGAAGGGGGATTGTAGGGAAAAAAAAGGGGGGGGGGTCAGGAACATTGCAGGAAAAACCACAGAAACCACTAGCCTGGCTCATGGAAACTCTGAATCAACAACCAGGGAGCCTGCATGAGACCGACCTAGGCCCTCTGCATATATGTAATTCTTTAAGATAAATGAATCAATGTTCAAATTATAGGCCTGCCCCACCATACCCAGTTGATCAAACTCAGAGCTTTATGTATACTAGGCAAACATTCTACCAAATAAGATATATCTCCAGCTCCAATAATGTATTTTTCTATGGTAAATTAAACTTCAATGAAAACTTAAAAAAACTAATTAATACAAAACATTTACTACAAAATTTCAGATAAAAACCCAATGGTTGATATTTCTTAAAAATTAAAAGATAGGGCAATGGCCAGGCACTGTGACACATGTTTGTAATCTAAGCACTCAGGAGGCAGAGGCAGGAAGATATACAGTGAGTTCCAGGCCACCCAAAGCTACATTGTGAAACCCTTTCTAAAAACCCAAAAAATTAAAAGAGATGGCAACAGAGGACCAACATCTTCCAGGACACAAATGGCCTGGGACTGAGTAGCAGCTCCTCTTTTTATGTTTCATTTACTGTTTTGAGAGAGGGTCTCCATATGCAGCCTAGGATGGCCTTAGAACTCATAGAGAGCTACCTACCTTTTCCTCCTGAGTGCTGAGATTACCAGCATGTGCTACCATATCCAGTTTATGTGATGCTAGGGATTGATCCCAGGTTTTCTGGCATTCTAGAAAAACTCTTTGAAATATAGCCCCAACCCAATAAGGAAAGCTTTCACAGATGTGATCCTTGAAATATATCTACTGCTTACCATTATATAAAGAATAAAAAGTATACCACATGGGGGGGGTAGAGATATAGCTTAACAGGATAGTTTACCTACCATGCACAAGGCCCTGGGTTTGGCTCACAGTACCACGGAAAGTATACTATATATACATATACTATGATTATTACAAGCCATTATAGGAATAAGGAAGTCCTTTTCAGGGGCTGGAGAGAAAGCTTAGTAGGTTCAGAGCACTTGTTTTAGTTTGTTGGTTTTTCAGACAGGGTTTCTCTGTGTAATAGCTGTTCTGGAACTTACTTTGTAGACCAGACTGGCCTTGAACTCACAGATCCACCTGCCTCTGCTTCCTAAGTGATTAAAGGTGTGGGCCACCACCGCCTGGGTAAGAGCACTTGTTCTTATGGAGAATCCCTGTGCATTTTTCAACACTCAAGTGGTGGTTCACGACCAACTGTTAACTCCAGTTCCAGAGGATCCAATATCCTCTTCTGAATTCCTTGGGTACCAGGCATGCACGTGGTGCAGAGAAATACATTCAAGCAAAATATTCATACACATAAAATAAACTTAAAAAAATAAGTCCTTTTCAGGTAAAAACATCTCCCAAGAATACAATATCTACTCTTTTGTGAAATGGAGCCAGGCATGATAGTGCATGCATGCCTGTATCTCAGTGCTGGAGAGGTTAAGGCAGTAGATTATGAACTCAAGGCTAGCCTGGATTACAGTAAGTTTAAGGTTGACATGAAAAACTTAAAGATCATGTATCATATATCCAAAATCTAGGGGCTGGAGATGGCTCAGCAGTTAAGAATGCTTTCTGCTCTTGAAGAGGACTCCAGTTCTGATCTAAGCACCCTCATCATGTAGCTAGCACACAGTTACCTGTTCCAGGAGATTCAATGTAATTTTTGGCCCCTGAGGCATTCATATTCATTCTATCTCTCTGTCTCTGTAACACACACACACACACACACACACACACACACACACACACACACACACACACACACAGAACAAAAATCTTTTTTTATTTTTCCAGACAGGGTCTCTCTAAGTAGCCATGGATATCCTGGAACTTGCTATATAGATCAGGCTAGCCTCCAATTCATAGGAGATCCTCCTGCCTCTACCTCTCAAGTACTGGGATTAGAGGTATCACCACACACACAGCAAGATCTTTAGAAAAAAAAATCAGATTGGGCTAGGGATATAGTTTGGTGGTAGAGTACTTTCCCAGCATTTGCAAGGCTCTGTCTGGGTTTAATCTTTAGCACACACACACAAAAAATGCAAAATAAAATAAATTTGTATCCTTATGCCAGACACAAATAAATCAGAAAACTTAAGCCAATCATCAAGATATTAAGGACACAAATAATTAAGAACAGTGTAGTGGCATTGGCCTTTTTTGTCCATTTTGTTTTTTCAGACAGGGTTTCTCTGTGTAACAGCTCTGGCTGTCCTGGAACTTACTTTGTAGACCAGGCTGGCCTCGAAACTCACGAGATCTGCCTGCCTCTGCCTCCTGAGTGCTGAGATTAAAGGTGCTTGCCGCCGCCACCACCAGGCTAAGGCTTTGTTTCTTTTCAGACAGGGTTTCTCTGTTTATTCCTGGCTGTCCTCAGACTCACAGAGATCCACCTCCCTTTGCCTCCCAAGTGCTGGGACTAAGGGTGTGCGCCACCACCGCCCGGCTGGCATTGGCCTTTTATCCAAGTACTACAAAGGCTGAGGCAAGAGGCCAGTGTAACCTATAATAAAGATACTATCTCATCTACCCTTCCCTCCAACACACACCAAGAAAAGAACAGCTACTGCTTGTTTCTGCATTTTTTTTCATCTCTTAGTTCTAACCAATCAGTAGTTTGATACTCAAAATACTGATGGAAAGGGGACTACAAAAGTTCTCAGACAAGCCAGGCACTGAGAGGTTGAGGCAGGAGGATTGCTACAAGTTCCTGGCTAGCCTATAGAGTGAGATTTCCTCCTGCCCCCCAGACAGGGTTTCTCTGTATAGTCCTGGCTATCCTGGAACTTGCTCTGTAGACCAGCTTGGCCTCCAATTCACAGAGATCTGACTGCCCCTGCCTCGAAAGTGCTGGGATTAGGTGTGCACTACCACCACCTGGTGACTGTCTTAATAAAAAGTTAGTGCAGGCCCAGAGTGATGGCTCAGTGGTTAAGGGCATTTACTCTGCAATCATGAAGACTAGTCAGATCCCAGCCCAGCAAATACAAAACAAACTGTGCATCCCC